GAACCTGTCTGGTACAGTACACTGTATACCGTTTGCTCGACTAAGCAGCCTTATGAAGGCATGTATAGTTTCCCAAACTTGGTTATACAGGGTAGTGCTGTTGCTCAACGACCATGGCAATGATAGTACATATATTAGCCTCGTCTTCGTGCTTGCGGTCTTCGAACGCACATGTGGCTTTGTTTATTGCTATGTTTTGGCTTTGTTTTGAGTTAAAAGAACGGGTCGTTGTGAACTTCGCGGCCCGATTCGGATTGGTTAATCTAAAAAGTTAAAATAGGGAAGCTAAACATTTGCTGATTGTCGTCTCGTGACTAAGCAGCTCCAAGCCACGCTAAGCCAAATAGAGCTGAGAGTACAAAGATTAGACAAATACTCATCATTCCCATGCTGGCTGAATCGTGGTGCGTTGCCGCTCCCGTAGATACTATAGTAGTGCCACAATTCCCCTTAATGTACGCATGGGAAACGTTTTGCTCAAAGCAACGCAGGTGTTCGCTGTTCTTTATGTTAAAATGAGCGTAGATCACAGATGACCCTGTTAGGCGGCTCATGAGTCAAGTGGCGCTGCGACTGATGTTGAAATTTCGATTCTCAGCCACGACGTCCGCATTCTAATGTCTACAAAATGACACTCGTGCACCGTATACGGTTCGATGACCGTGTGCTTAGATTTAGGTGCATGTTAATTAAGAACTCCAGGTGGCTGATATTTAATAATAATAATAGTTGAAGCGTACCGTGGTCCGTGTTCACGAGAGGTACACTGCAAGATGTTTCAGCGCGCGAACAAAGGCGAAAGGACAGGGTAGACAGAAAGAGCTCTGTACACTGTACAGTACTCTTTCTGTACCCTATACACTGTACTCTTTTTGTCTACCCTGTCCTTTTTCCTTTGTTCGCGCGCTGAAACGTCTTGCAAATACGACTACGCACCAACTAGCCCAAGCTTCCACTCTTGTGAGGTACAGTGCATTGCACCGCACTTTTAACAATAAAATGATACATCGAAGAAGTAGGCCTACTATATATATGTTTTGTTCCCTATGTTCCATGCGGGACTCATGCAGCATTATCAGAATCTTATTCAAAAGGTCTCAGTTATTTATTTAAAAGAACCACTCATGAATTTTCGATTAACTGATTTGTTAGCATAAATTACAATAATGAAAGTGCTATGGCATGGACAATTTTTGTTAGTTGCTTGGTTGGAACAGCTTTATTCAGGTCCTGCGGGACGCGCGCTAGCTCGCAGCGGGTGACTCCAACGTCAAGACCGCCAGGCTAAGTCTGTCGACCGCTTCGCTGGCCTGCTGGACAGCCCAAAGCTGCCCAGGAGTTGGCTGCGCATGACCGCCTCTCACCTGGCCAATTTGGAATGGGGACTTGATTAAACACAGTCCCAGAGCATGTGTGCTACTGTGGACTTGAGCCTGCATGCGAGGTACACGTCATCCTTATAGTTCTCAGTGTATATTGCATACAGAGTCTAAATATTAAGATATGTATCCGTTTGTAGCAATCTAAACGTGAGCGGTAGAGGCCGATTATGTTTCGGGTGAGAAGGATTGATTGATATGCGGGGTTTAGTGTTTCAAATCCACCTTATGATTACGAGAGAAGCCACGGGTGATGAGGAGGGTGTTCTTTTCATGGTACACAGCGGGTGCGTCCCTGCAGTCCGAAACTTCGTCCTCATCAAGCCCAATGGCGGCGCGGGGGTTGAGCGCGCGTTCAGCTTCGTGGGTCGCCTCGTTGAGGTTTGTGGGAACACCCGCTATGTGTGCAGGGGGGAACCAGATTAGCGAGTGGTGTTTCATCCCGTCGACACTTTGAAGTAGATGTGCAAGGTTTGCTCACACTACACCACACTCCGAGAACGTTCGACCACGATCGACCTTCAAGCCAGAAAGCGACGAAGGCGCTGCTGAAGTTTCTGCGGTCCACCGGACTCGCTTGACGACATTTTTGAGTTCGCGTGCGTCTTCTATTTTCTTTTTTTAAACCAACACTTTCTCTCCTTTTTCCCTCCTTACCTTTTCAGGCCGATTTCCTTTTCCCCAGTGCAGGGTAGCAAACCGGAACCGATCTCTGTAATGCTTGGCCTACGATAGACGAGCCGCTTTTTGTGAGCCATCTTACTGCATAACTATCGAACCCAGATATAGCTGTACATCGGCGCTTCCTGTTGAGTCGGAGCCTCAACGGATGTGACTCGCGTTTCGTGTGATACGGCTCGGAGGTCTCAGTTTCCAAGATCAGTTCCTTGCCGAATGTAAAACCTACTTGTGAGTCGTCGTCAAAACAGCCATTGTTCCTTTTCCCGTCTTTCGCGAGGGTGAAGTGCCAGTATTTATTGCCGAAATGAGAATGGCGCCATGCGCACTGGTGCGCGAAGACTTTTGCGTAACAATGAAAGCCGGCACCGACTTCCCTGCGATATGCTCAGAAAATATAAGAGCCGGTGGGACGTGCGTTCATTTGTTTATAGACAATTATCCAAAAAGTTCTGATGTGAGCCAAATCTTCGTCATCGACTTCATGTTTTCAATCCATTGAATAAATTTTCGCATGATAACGGAATGCATACAAGTGACTTCTGGTGGATGGTTGACCAATCAAATCTGCTTTGTCACCATTTTCTTCTTTCTTTTTTTTGACGTGGCAGTGGAAGCGTTTATCGGTGAGTCGCCGCCAGCATCTCTCGTATCAGTTTCATCGCGGCGCCGTGCATGCGAATCTCTCTTTCACTTGCCCCTCATTCCCTATCGACGCGTTGATTCGCACTGTGTACACAGTATCTTCGACTCCTCCATGACTTGACGCCGCTCTCGTACATTCTCAAATCATTTCGTGCCGTGGCTAATGGAAACAGATACATATTATAAATGTAGGAGCACGTATGAGGTCTTAGTATGCGTTCTCGACGAACCGAAAACGGTCGTTAGTACGGTCCAGTCGCATCGGCGTACACATTATTAGTGATGACCATATACAGGGTGTTCCAGCTCACTTTAGCCTGAGTTTAAAAATATGCTGACACACGCTATTACGATGTGACCCAATGCATGTTGCTGACCGTTGCCCAGAGTTGGACAGTTTTTCAGTGTTCTAAAATATTGTTTATTTAGGTTTGTTTAAATAACTAACTTTTGAAGGAATGAAGATGGATAAAAATTTCAATGAGATAGTTGTAGATCAACGTCTTATTTGACAGTTTTGAAATTTATATCTGCTAAGTATTAGTGTTTTCCTGCTTAATTACAAATGCCCGCGAAATACAAAAGAATACCACGTGACAAACCCGCTCGCGTGCACAATGATTCTATTGCTCCCTAACGTTCCACGTACGAACGACCAATAGCATTTGCCCGATTGTGCTGTCTCGACAGGTCCGCAATGATGGTGGTGGTTCTTTGCGATGAACATGTTTTGGTATCGGCCACAAAAACGATAACCGCTGTGACTGCTAATCGCTGTTATGAACCGCTGCGATCGAGTGAAGCATATCGTACGCGGAACGATAGGGAGCACTAGAATCAACGTGCGCACTGGCGCGCGAGCGGGTTTGTCACGTGGTATTTTTTTGTATTTCGCGGACATTTGTAATTAGCATAAAAACACTAATGCTGAACAGATATAAAGTTCAGAACTGTCTAACCGGACCTTTTGCGAACCGATCTACAACTTTCTGAGATTGTTTATCCATCTGCCTTCCTTCACAAGTTTGTTGATTAAACTTATCTAATTAAATAACATTTTAGAACACAAAAATAGTTTGACAAACTCCAAGCTACGGTCAGCAACATGCATTTGGTCTAGTCGTAATTGTGTGTGTCGACATGTTTTTAAATTTTGGCTAAAGATAGTTGGGGCAACCTGTATATTCAGCTGCGAACGCGTCCTGCTTGTCTGATTATTATTTTATAGCCAAATGGATGTCCCAAAGCGTGCGAGCACTCGATTACATTGTCACGCTAGTAACCGTTGGTGGTTATATAACTTGTTTCTGCATACGCGCATGTCGCGGCGCTTTTGTGGTGCGCCCAATACATCCACTGCATTCAGAAACGAAACATGAACACACACACAGCCTAAGGTGACACTTGCAATCGCTATTAGACTGCTCTCACTCAACGTCGTTTTATTCCTCGAATGGTGGATGCATACCACTTTGGACCATATATCATTTGTAATATAGCGGATGCACTTGGCAGCCAGTAAATGTTTCTCCGAAGCCCTCTTTCAGTGTATACGACCAGCGCGCCTTGAGCAATTAGCATTTAATGTAACGGATCAAGCCTTCAGGCACCACTCGTATGCCGCATGAGGCTCATTCGCTCCTCGATTCAAACAATCGTGTGAGTATGCATAACGCAGCGTCTGTGCCCTTGAGAGCACTTACACGTGTAGTATGATATACAGTGCTTTTTGATGCAGACGCACGACCAATGTGGGTATGCGATGATGCCGTTCCGTCGGGCACGTGTGGATCCCCGGAGAAAGCGATGCAGCGGCCTTGTCCCGGGCCTGCCGCCGCGGCTGTCGTTAATCGCCAGCAGGGGTGTTCATCCCTCGAAAGGGCATTAATAGTCGTTCCCTGGTGCCATCAGTGCGAGGAGTCGGGGCGGTACGAGCACCGAGGCCGCCGTCTTTTCCGCGGGTGCAGAAACGAGGCGACCGACGGTTGAGAGAAGCCGCAGAAACAACCGTCGAGGCGGTCTTCTGCAGCCCCAGCAATTAGTGCGGTGCGTCACTCAATCAAGCGCCCTCCGCCTTGCGAAGCAAATTGTTCCAAATGATACCGAGATGCGCTCGCTGAATAACGTACGCGCGTGCCGGGGGTAACCCCCCGGGAGGGGGGCCTCGAGTGAGTGCGTAATGAGGGCTGCCATCTCCGACGGCGCGCCCCGTCGACACTGACGGGCCCAGGAATGCAGCAGAGTCGACGACGCGCTGCGCTTGACGGATGCGACTTCCTCTCCGCTCAGTGCGCGCCCCCGTGCGTGTGCTTTTCTGCGAGAGCGGGCGTTATCGCGCCTCAAGGAGATTCCGCCATGAGGGTTTTTATTTTTTGTTTCTTTTCCTTTTTGCGCGTCCTTCGCCGCTGCCAACTCCGCGGACTCTGCGCATTCGACCGGTGAAGTAGCGACGGCGAAGTAGGCGTCAGCGGACACGGTGCGCCTTCGTTGTCGCCCCGCTGCATTTCTTCCATCGGGCTCGGCACAAGCGTGACCGCATCGGCGCCTCTTCGATCAGCGGCGAAAGTACCACCCTCGTGCAGAGGACGGACCCTTTCTTTGAGCATCGCCTTGTGCAACGAGTGGGCCAGATGGCCGGTCGAATTTCACGGCGGCGGCGCTGAGTGTGTGCCTCGTTCCGCAATCTCCGTGGGCATTGCACTCGGCAGTGCGCGCGCGTCTCTCCGAAGAAGCCGGCCGAGGAATAGAGCCGCGTTGGGTCATCGCTCTCCCCACTGCGGTGAATCGCTTTGAACCTCGTGCTGCCACTTCGTGGTCGACGACGGCTGTGCGGCGAACACGGCCCGTCGCTGTTCGCGACTCGACCGAGCCGTCTCGGCAGCAGCCAAATCATCGTTCGCCTGCGCGAAGCATTTGTGCGGTGGCCGATCGAAGATTGCCTTATCCGATGCCACGGTGTTCGTTCCCTTCCAGCGAGCGCAGATTATCGTCTCCGCCTGCTGCACCGGCGTCGCGCTCTCCACACGACCACGCTTGACGTCGCGCTCGCCTCGACGCCGGCAAACGGCAGCAGCTGCTGACAGCGACACGCCCGCTCCTTCCCGGTGTCGGCGCTTTCCGCGGAGCGTCGTTCTGACGCGTGCCAGTGTGACCACGGCCTCCCTCCCGTGCTGGAATGTGAGCGTGGCGTTTTCGGTGTTGTCAGAGGCGGTGCTTCTAGTACGTGACCATATTGCCACCCTCCGTGACATCGCCGCTCTTCGATCATTGTGTGTTTTCCTCGCCAAGATTTGGCACTGCTACGCCTTTTTCACGTGTGGCCGCGGTACCGTGGTCAACGCCTGCTCGTTGGATGAAAGTGCCGTGCAATTCTAGTGTCAAAAGAGCCACATTTCTCGCCCTCTGGCGTGTTTCGGGCCGGTCTGGGCACGTCTGCATGCATGCCCCCTTGACGGCAGCCCGAGGCGCATTGTTGCCGCCCTGACCCGTGGCATCGTGTGAGTAGCGTGTGTGCATTCCGCGTAGTGCCTTTCTTTGGATACGGCGATGGAGAAGTTCTTCCTGCGTGCCTTGGGCCGCTCGTACACGTACTGCTGTGCCGAGGCGACTCCTCCGCTTCCGGCTCCGCAGCAGCCACCGCCTCCTTCTTCCGGGCGGACGTCCGCCGGTAGCCGACGGTCGGCGGACGTCGCGGTGCTGCGCAGCAAGGCCTCCGCTAGGCACGCCAGGTCCTCGCCGAGAAAACGACGTGAGTTGCTGCCATGACTCCCGCTTGCCTCCACGAGCAGCTTCTTCACTGCTCTCATTTTTGCTGCCTCTGGTCGTAGCGTAGTACAACTGCTTGTGTGCTACTCAAACACTCGTAGAATGTAACCAGACACAACCTTTCGACACTGTATCGCTCCCTCGATTACGTGCAGCACTCATGCAGTCTGTGTCGCGAATGTGTTTCAATGACGTCTATTCTTTGCTCTATAATTATCTTGCCCGAATAGCGAGCGCTTAATAGATGTATTTTCCTTTTCGGTAGGGCGTCTTACGTCGTACGCTCGTAACTAAGAATGGCAGACTGGGTGCGTTGGTTTATCATAACTGGATGACCAAGTTGGTCGGTTGATTTCTCATGATTAAGTAAAACTTCGAGCGCAAACGACCGACGTGGGACCGCGTCGTTTATTCAACGGGTACTGAAATCGGCGAACAAAGCGCCGGTCAAGCGGCACAGCGCGTCGGCTTTTATATGCGTGTGCTCTCGAAGATCCGAGCGTTATCGCTGGCGGTCGCGCAAGCTTTGGAAGAAACTTTACTGTTCGCGTTCTGCGCACAAATCTTAACACAAAGATCTACAATCGCCAATCTTCTCGAACAGTAAGGCGCTGTCTCATTCGAGCGTTGCTGACAGTATTTTTGGGGATCTAAATCGAACGCAGCAAATTTGAAAAAAAAAAAAAAAAATACCGCACACGGCAATATTTGCGGGAAGTGTCTGTTCGAGGCATCGGCGAGCTCAACTGTGCCCAACGACTCGTGGTGTGTGTCGCTTTGGGTTCGGTAATCGCAATGACGTCAGCATAAGACGGAATCGCGTACCTGGCGCAATACACATTTCTTGCAAAAGGAGTCGTGCAGAAGAGAAGAAAAATAAAGCGCAGAATGTCTTTTGCTTAGGCAATGTAAGCGCAAGTCGCTTTAATACTTGTGCCGTTCACCTTGACATTTCACTCTCTTTCTCTCTTTACAATACAGATCTTAAACGTTAATTCTATGACAGTCATGCTCCTGACGCTTTCGCGCATGAGAACACTTTGCCGCAAGTAAAATGTAATTGACGTGTATACGGACTAAGGTACTTTCCAGCTTTGGTAGTTACTATATCCACAACGGCAGAACATTATGAAATCATTTCTGCTTTGCGTGTCTCGTACATCGACGACCGGGACAACATCCGCTGGGTACTTCCGATGCAAGTCACTGCTCAAAAGAAGAAAGGCCCAACAGACTAGAGAAGTACATAAGACGGGCGCTATAGCGAAATGTTTAGTTGCAATCAATGATGGAGTGCATTTCAGGTCGATGTAAGATCATGGAAAATGTGTAAGCGGCATCATGGTAACATGGCTGTGCAAGAAATTTGTAAAATTGATTGTTAGTTGAGACTACACATAAGGAAAAGCCTTGCGTGAATGGACACATTTCTCCCAATATAGCAGTGCGAGCATTACTATAACTTTGAGATTTACAAAAATCGCTAAGGCATCGAAACGGATAGCTTTCTTTTTCTTGTTTATTGTTGGATTTTTTTAATTATTTTCAAGCAAAAGTGTGCTCTTGGTTAAACGTAGTTTTTTTTTTTTTCGTTCCCGTGTTTATGGAGGATTTCTGAGCGCACACGATTCGCAACTAAAACGCGGCAGTCGAGGGAGGCGAATATCTGCTGTGCGGGAACTTTTTTTCGGTAGAGAAGGGGGGCGGGAGTTGGTTCAGCCATACTTCATGTATGTTCGTGCGTGCGTTTGTATGTGTACGCGTACGCATAGACGTGCAAGATGGGCAAATTTCGCAAGTTCGAACCCCACCCTCGCATGGCTACGACAATGGCTATATGAACTCTTCCGTTGCGAGAACATTTGTGTTTTGCTACCCTAACGATATAGGCGAATGCTCGTTGGGTTGTTTATTTCTCTATTTGAAGGCTTTTTGACAACTTTTGCTCAATGATTATCACGTGAGATGAGTCGTAGCTGATGATCCTCACCAGCGTTTTGTTGAACAAACCTACTTCGAACAACGGACGATGCTGCACGTGTGCCGTCTCGAAGTCACAAACTGCTATCTCGGGAAAAGAAACATAGCCTGCCGTGTACAGCTTGTGGCAGCAGCGACAAGTTGTGTACACAGACGCGTGGCTGCTAAATCGCGGCTCCGCGGGAGGCTGGGAGAGGAGGACAAGACCTCCTCGGAGGCGACACGTGTGGCCTCTGCGAAGACCAGGTGCGTGTATTCACATATCGCACGATCTCTGTCGAATGGTTCAGTGTAAGCGTAAGCGAGCTCATCCTTGAACATGGACGCGAAATCAGTCTGCCATAACGGAATAAAAGTGTCGGAAGAACAGTCAGTACGATGCGCACGCTTTGCATCGCTCTACGCTCATAGTACACGATTTACAAAATCGAACACGAGCCGTAGGTGCAACGTGCTGATAGCCTCACGATAAAAGGAATTTTTTCTTAGTCAACCAATGACGCAATCAACAAGCGCACAAACAATATGTGCGCTTCACCAATCGTTCATGGAGCGAGTAAGATTCCACTTTTGCCATAGAATTGCCTACGATTTTTTTTTCTTTGGAAATCTCTTGTGGTATCGCGCATTCTATATGTCGATGAAAAGAACTTGAACGTGTCATGGCGTATTGCGTGAGAGGTGGTTTTGAATGGTGCGACGAAGTGGTGGTTTCAAGAGATGTTCGCCTATTTTCATACACTATTACAACACGAAAGGCAGTTCCTTGCAGCCACTTCTTCTCGACAAGCCACTGGGGGTATTCCCTCGATTATTTCTCGCGCTATCGTGGCGGAAATGCTTGACGTAAACAGCACAGTGCCTTACCTTAACCGATTTGCAAGGTGGTATTCACCACTGTCGCCATATTCCTTAATGTGTCGCACTAAGGCTTTTTGAGCTCTTAACTTGACAGCCATTCGCAAGAAGTGTTCTGAATCATTTTGCATGCTTACTCCAAATTTATATTGACCGCAACAGTAATTATTATAAAGACTTCTAGCATTCACACTGTTTTCTTGATTTTGATTTCTTTAGCCGCCTCGGAAGTACCCTGATTATAAAGCCCACCCGAAAACCACAATTTCGATCCCAGCTGCAGGCTGTCACATTTCGATAAAAGCAAAAAGCCAGGGGCCCGTGTGTGCATGGTTTATGCATATACGTCAAAGGGATACCATAGTGGTACAACGAGTCAGAACAAATTGGTTGCACTCTGAGAACTCAAATTTCGTTAATTTCACTATTGTGTATTTATCAATGTAGAAAAATCCAAGGCTTGAGTTTCATTTTTCCGCTTCGCGCCGGTCTCCGCTCATAAATGCCAGGGTATATTTCTCTACCAAATTTTCCGAAACTTGTTATATTACAACTATGACCCTCTCCCAAGAGGGCAATGCATTTCATTATTACTGAATGGGAACTACTTCAGACGTTTAGTAAACATTGTAAAAAATCTGTGATGCCACGACTTTTGGTGCGGGAACTTCAATGTTCGTGTTTCCTTCTCGCGGCAACAAGCGTGGTCATTTAGGAATTCCTGCAGTGTTTTACGTAAGAACATTCTTCTTGTTGGTGTAATTCCTTTCAGAAATTAATCCGCTGTCACGGCGTGCCTCGTCATCGTTTATTATTTCCCTCCTCCGCGTGTTCACGGTGATTATATTCAGTGACAAGTTAGTTCGTGGCCGCCCGACTTATACCTTGACCAGTATGGCTGCCGCATGGACCGCTTCATCTGGCCAGGAAGACCAGACTGGCAACCAGCATTTTCCCCTTTTTTTTTGTATAGTACCGACAGCGCGCAGTGTACTGGCTGGTGCTTAGATGAGGGGCGTTTTTCAGCAGTTTGAACATGTTTTAGGTTTAACTGTAGGTTTTCTTCTCTTTTATTGTGATGCCAGCCAGCGAAAGGTCAACGAGAAGCCACTGTGACATTTTTGGTTGCTCTGGGAACTACAGAAAAAAGGAAACTGCCGTTTGAGTTAGTATGCGGCATGCATCACCAAACGCACAGCGTTTGCGGTTGCTTCATGCATGGTACATCGTTTGTGTTACGCGACGAGTTTTATAGCGACAAGTCTCGCAATATACCCTGAACACCCAGTGTTACGCTCGGCTAAATGACGATTGGATATGGTCAGCGGTCAAGCACGCGTCCTGGTCCTAAGCAGCACTCGAGTTGCCACCTGTGATGTTTTCGTTTCATTTTATGATTATATTGCAGTATGATGGGTTTGATCAAAACAATCGGCATCGTAGCTCGGTTAAACGCAGTGATCAATTTAGTTTATTATGTGACTATTAAAACGGACAAGATATCCCACTTCGCAGCGGGGTAACTGGCATAACACATTTAATTCGTGATGCGCACCAGCCTTGCGAAACCAGAACATTCACTGAATTTTACATGAAAGTTACGTGGTAATATCCTTGTCGTGAGTGTGCAACTTCCAGGGTATGGGTCGTGCACGATGTGATATGAAAATCGAATAGTAAGAAAAAAAAAGAAGAGTTCAGTGACTTCGTGTTTGGAATATCTACCCCAGGAAGACATTGCTTTAAGTGGTCAAGAACCGTGTCTGACAAGTCTCGCGATAATGTATACACACATGGTTATTTTTCTTTTTAAATCGAAACAAAATTAAACCACGTTGTTGTGGTTGTCTATTGTTTCTATAACGGTCAATTTCGTTGCTTAGCCTTGCGATCGACACCCAATATTTCTTGAAGACCGTACAACTGGTAGACAAAAATGTTTTTAAAAAAGTAAACACAAAAGTACCTTTTATGCCGATCATAGGCTCGAGCTCGCCCCCGTATGGTGCCTCACCTACAGAAAACACCATCTTCCCTATAGCACCGCCGCAATCCAAATTAACGCCATCACTCTAAAAGAAAAAAAAAAAAGCGTGCCGGCATGTAAACACCAGCATCCTTTTTGTGCACCAGTACGTCCCTGTA